GACCTCAAGTCCCACTTTCCCCTCCCCGCCTAGGCACTGCAAAGGAGGAAATGTTCCCAGATGAAGCCAAGCCTTGAAAGTCCCCAGATCAAAGGGTCATTCAGTTTTGTGGGTGTTTTGCACCCCCCAAGGCTGTCTCAGACAGAGGCTCATAGTGCTTGGACTTTCTGGAGAGAACCCCAGCAAAAGTTACCATGGTACAATGCATTCGAGTTCCCTTGTTGTGCAACAGCAGATGCAGCGATGCAGAACAAGGAGAGGTAAGGCCCCTCACAAATATAATTTACCTCAAGTTATTAGCCTGTTTTAGCCTCTTTATCTGAAATTCCTGTTAAAGGCATAAATGCATAAGTACATGTTCTTGATCCCATTGTTGCCAGTGGGAGCTTTCTTCCTTACACCATTAAAAGGAACCCCTCCAAGGGCTTAGATACACTTATAGGAATGTGAGGTAAATATAGTCAATGGATCCTTGAAACACTAGGTCTACATCTAGACTGCAAGCTCTTTCAAAAGAGGCTTTTGAAAAAAGATACTTTTGAAAAAAACCTCTTTCAAAAAAAGAGCGTCTAGACCACAACCAGTACTTTTGATAAAGCAAGCCGCTTTTTCGAAATGCACCCAGGCAGTCTGGATGCTCTCTTTTGAAAAAGCAGAGTTTGCATTACATAGCGCCTTTTTTCAAAAGAGCACTTTCGAAAAGATGCATTCCTTGTAAAACGAGGTTTTCCACAGTCGAAAAAACTGCCGCGTTCTTTCGATTTACTTTCGAAAGAACACGGCAGCAGTCTAGACACAGGGGAAGTTTATTTTGAAAAAAGGCCACTTTTTTTCGAAAAAACCCTGTAGTCTAGACACACCCTAGAGGTGATAATCTACAGTTCTCTCTGCCCTCACCTTCTTAAAGCAAAGGCGGAAGAGATTCGTTGGATGATTTTAATTAGTCTCAGAGTTGACTGACTTTAGTGGAAACAGAATTTGGTCCCAAGAGGACTAGTAAATCCACTAAGGGCACATCTATAGTGCAGGGCAGAAGTCAAATTAAGATGCAATAGCTGAAGTTATGTGTAGCTGAAGTTGAAATAGCGCCAAAAGCCTAATTAAGCTGTCTACACTGCAAGAAGTCGAAGGAAGAACACTCTTCCTTTGACTTCCCTTACTCCTTGTGAAATGAGGGGAGTGAGAAGTCCTCCAGCTCAACGTTATTTTGAAATAACGGTGTGAGTCTACACAGAAAGCCATGTTATTTCAGAATAACATCAATTATTCCGAAACAGGGTACGTCTACACAGCAGCGTTAAGAATGACACTCTTGTTAGAGTAAGGCTAAATTTATATGGGCACTTTATAGCGCTGTAACTTTCTGGCCCAGGAATGTGCAAGCTGCAGCACTGTAAAGCTCCAGTGTGAACCAGGCTATCGTGCCGTGACCTACTCCCATCATGGAGGTGGTTTACATGGAGCGCCAGGAGAGCTCTCTCCCAGCATGTATGCCATGGCCATGCTTTTAGTTTAAAGCGCTGCAACGGCTGCGCTTTACACTTTTAAGCGTAGCCAAAGCCTAAGGAAGCGTGAATGGGAAGAGCTGGAAGCACTCACACTGGATTACAAGTCATGAAGTAGTTTGAAGTCGTCAAATTTCCACACTGAACTCCATAACAGAGACACACACACAGCATGCACGAGAAATAATGCTGTCTATCGCCTTGAATAGATTCGTATGCAAATGACACTTCTGAACACATGGCACCTTTAAGACACACACGCATGCCATCTTGCCATCTTCACACCCCAAACGGACGTACAGGGAACACTTAGGGCAACGGGCTGCAAGGATTGATAGGAGCTGTATTGGTATTTGACTATGCACAATTTTTACTTGGGTGCTTTCTCTAGGCATTTATAAGAATTGCCTTGACTGAATGGTAGCTATGGGGTACTCAGCTCCCGTCAGAAAAAAAAAAAGGCCAATTTTTAAGATGCCTACATTTAAGGTGCCTAACCACATAAGTACCCTGTTTACAGCCTTAGAGATGTACATTGAAGAGGAGACTAAATACGATTGATTTCCAAGGTACTGTACAGTAAAATTATTTGGAGCTTTTAGCATAGCCCTTATGTGAGGTATTTATTGTAGGCCTGATTAGTCCTCCAGATCCCTTTGTGTTCTCAGTGAAATGCACCTTCAGGCAGGAAGGTGGCTAACTCCGCATGCTATTTTGAGCTACACCTGTCTATCAAAATACAACTGGCAGAATTGCTTGTTCAGTATTTCCCTGGAGCTCTCCAAAATAAACAACCTCCCCCCAAAAAACCCCAACAAACCCCCCCAAAAACCAAGGATGAGAAGCACAGGCTGTGTCACATCCAGCGAAAACTTGCGAGTTGGCAGCATCCCCAGACATATACGCAGTACTGTTTTGGAGCAGTTTAAAAAGGTATTTAAGAATATTTCAGTGAGCAGCTTTCATTTGCATTTAGCTTTTGAGAGAAAGTCATAATAGATGCGAGAAGCAGGGCCCTATAGGGAAAATGTTTGCATGGGGGAGGGAGAGAACAAAGCCCCATTTTTGGAATGTTATTTTTTGAGCAACTATAAAGTTCAAAGCAAAGGAAAAATAAAGTTCACTTTAAGAACTCCGTGTCTCCAAATGATAGGGCACCTTTACTATTTTTATGAAGTGCATAGACTTTTTCAAGAAAGTGTTCATAACATTCAAAACACTTAAGACTTATCTATGAATGTTTTCCTGGAGTTTGATTTTGAGAGCGACTGAAGGTAGATGTACTTGATTCAGAAGTGGAACATTCTGATTCACAGTCAAGTTATCTGTACATCCATGTTATCTACAGAGTTGCAAGAGGCTACATTGGTAAGTGCACATGAACAATGCAGGAACACTTCCCAGGTTCATACATGTTGAACAGTTTGACATTTGATAATCCCCCCACGGCAGCATGAATATTTGAGATCAGAAACAATTACTATGTTAAGTATTTTAAACTTTAAAAATCCTGCAGACCAAAATGCAACTCCAAGCTTTAGTTTACCTTGGTCTATTTGGTAATTTGCAAATCAAAGAGGACACACTCGTCCTTTCACTCCCCTTTTACCTGTAAGCCAAATCAGTCCAGGCACCTTTCAATTGAACAAGAATGCACATAATCAATAAAGTACAGACTTAGTAAAAGATGTGAGCAGTCACACAAAGAAAGAACACCTCCAAATGTGAAATCCAATAGCATTCTTGAGACAGACTGGAAAGAAAAAAAACCAAGTTGATATTACTAGTTTAGACAAACTACAAAATATAAACTGACATTAACACTAATACAGATTGAACCTCTCTAGTCCGGCACCCTCGGGACCTGACTGGGGCTGAACCAGAGAATTTGCTGAACCACAGGAGGTCAATATTGTCTAGCAGCATTACCAACACTTCCACTACTTCCTGGGCTCTTAAAAGGTAAATTAGAGCTAAATAACAGCACAGAACACTGAGCGCCGAGATTGATGGCTGTAAACAAACTGTATGGGACTATAGGCAACTTGACCACACCCATGGTAAGTGAACATCCTGCTAACTAAAATCATGCCGGATCACGGATGTTGCCAGACCAGAGAATGCCAGACTAGAGAGGTTCAGCCTGTACTTATTTTCCATGTTCTACTTTATACCTAAATTACATTTTAAAACCAGAGTAAGACATTGTTTCTTCTTTTTACAGAAAGTCCCAATTTTGGGCCTGGTCTTGCCAACACCGATCACAAGTGCGTCTTATTGTTATGTATTTATATGGCACCAACCACAAAGGGGGCCTTCGCTCTGCAATAAAAATAGCTTATTCATGCAACTAGTTCTATTTACTGCAATAGCAGTGAAAAAGGGATGTTAAAGTATTTTCAGGGTCAAGCACTTTAGTTGTAACCACTGACCTTGTAGATTCTGAAGTGGAGTTTAATATTAATGCCTAGCATTCACAGCTCATTGAGTTCAGTGCAGAAGAATCAATATGGCTTAACTGAGCTTTTGGGAACTGACTTGAGCCATGCACACCTGTGTTCCCTGAACACTCAAAGTTCTCAAATCATGAGTTTTCCATGCATGTGAAATTACACTACTCCATGTAATGCCAAAAAACTACATACACAATGCCCCAAGTTTATTACTAACATATGGCTGATTTTTCAGCAGTATGAAAAAGTTAGCATACCAGCTTCTCTACATAACTTTACAGGAACAGAAGCTGAAATAAACTGTAAAAATCGCAGATCAGGTATTCATATGGGTGTTGCACTCAAGACATAAATACTATGTATTTGCTCAGTACAAAAACACGGAAAGACATCTGGTAGCTGAAGATTAAGGGGTTTTGATTGTAATCCACCAATCTGAGACACTTTAGTTGGTTATGCTCTAACCATGAGTAATTCAAAGAACCATAGTTTAAAACTGAGACGTGTGCTTCCCATGTGCAGAGGAGAGAGGTGAACAAAGACTCGATATTCAGAACAAGCAGTTTTCAGTGCATTTTTTTTAAGACAAAGCTTCATAATGGTACTGGAAATGCATGAGCCTAATCTTGTGGTCTGGCCCTATACACTTTTGTACAAGTAAGGTATTGCAGCACGGAGCCATTCATGCACATTTAAAAGCAAGGTGTCTTTAGACACAAATGCATAGAAGAAAAAAAGTGGAAAAGCCATTCAGATAAAATATTATAGGTTTATTTAAAACTTATTTTCAACTTGAATATGCAAAATACAAACTCCAACAAAATGTTCATTTTTACTTCGTAGTTTACAAATATACAAAATAGAAGTTTGTTTAAATTTATATTACATATTTATTATGTAAAGAACTATATAGAAAACATTTGTTCTGCTTAAGGCATATTTGGGAATAAACCATTGTACAATTTATTGCACATCGAAACCACAGTGCATTATAGACTGTCTGCATAAATTTTTTTCTTAAGAAAAAAAAAAGAAATATAATCGTAGATCGGAAGACAAAAGTATTTCCTTGTCAGATATGCAGCAGTTTGAGAACTTTGGCTTCCTGTTTTTGGTACCTTTAGAACCAACAGTCACTAAGCACCATGAAATAGGCTTTTAAACATAATTCTGTACCTGAATTTCTTCCTCCTCTTTTAACATAATAATGGCTTTTAGAAGGAAAAAAAAGACAAGATGACTTTTACATCTCATATTGCATTGAAACAAGATTTAAGGGAATGTAAATCTCCCCTCCCCACCCGACAAGCAGTCTATTTAACCCTGATATCCTTGACTTCCAGTCACTCCTTGGCATTTTGTAGTCCAGAAATATTCAAGTTGGATTTAGAAATGGAATGATAGAAGATCCAGTCATTGACCCCAATGTTTTTCTTTAATTTATAATTAAAAAAAAAAAGAAGAAGAAGAGTTCCAACATTTGCATTTGATTATTTCCACTCTTTGGAAGACTTCACCATGATTCCTTGTAGTGCTTTAACTGGGCTCCTCCCTCTTGTGGAAGACAGTCTGTGCTGTGAATACTGAATCTCTTATGGCAGTACGGGAAAGATCCACTACTTCTGATTAAAAGTGCCTCTTCATATGTAAGGCTAGGTGATCTGACCTGGAAAATGCTCTGTCACATCTCTGACACTGGAAAGGGCGGTGGCCCGTGTGTTTCCTGTAGTGACGGGTAAGTTCATCAGAGCGGGCAAATTTCCATCCACAGCCCTCCCAGTCACAGTGGTATGGTTTTTCTCCTTAAAAAAAACAAAAACAAACCACATCAATTAAGTACATGTTTCTCTGCAGACATGTACGTTAGTATGTTCCAGTACGTTTAACATTCCAGCCTTCTAGTAACATCTTCCTTCAATGTTTAATTTACATTTGGTAACTTATGGAAAAATTAATGTTTTTGTTAAAGAAAATAAGATATAAAAGTTACTGGAAAAAGCCTTATTGATATCTATCAACAAAAATGCTAAAATCAGACAAAGGGCAAAGAATCTATTCTTTGCATGACAGTATGATTATATGGCTCATTTTATTGAAACCTTTTAACTACTACACTCACAATTTCCAGACTTTTATGCAGGAATTTAGAATACAAAGCTCAAATAACAGTATCCTGAATGAATATATATATATATATGCATGCATTTTGCTATTTGAGGACAGTGTTAAACAAATTTCTACCAGAAACTGCTCAGATGAAATGGATTTAGATGATAGATTTCAGGAATAAAGAACCTGCTGGAAACTTCGTAATAGCAATGTTAAGAAATTAGAGGGCTCAGTCCCATGGCCTTTTAAAGCAAAGCTCATATTGACTTCAGTGGGAATTTTAAAGATTATAGACTCAGCACATTAGCAATCTGGAAAGCATCCACTAACTCTGAAAACACCAGTAAAAAAAAACCCCAACCTTTTAACCATTTATCTCCGGAGAAAATGACATTAGCTGGAACTTGATAAGCACCATAGCTCACACTCTAAACTCTGAGACATCCCTTGGTTCTTCCCTAGCTCCCCAGCTCGCAAAATACATTTCAATTCAATTTCTACTGCTGTATCTCATTCAGGGATTCTGAATAATTCAATTCAAATCTACGTGATATGCTGCTTTTAGAGCATGTCTAAAGTAACAATTATTTAACAGAAACACTTTCACCAATTCCACTACAGCAGTAATGGCTCATTAGTGGCCATATTAAACCAGACCTTTGAGATCAAGCTCAAATATGAATGTTAATGGATTGATTATTTTACTTCAATTCCTATGGTAGTCGAAGAACCTTAAACTAGATTTCTCGCAGTGCTAATTAATCAGAAAAATAACTTAAAAGGAGACAACAATCTTGTCATCGACATGGAATTATAACAATATTCTGGGAGTATCTCGTTTCCCTCGCAAGCAACTGCACTATATCTTTCATTGATTTCACTGGAATGGGCATGTCCCTAGCCACGTTAATAGACTCTCTGGAGTTGGAAGTGAAAACCAGGGGAAACGTTTTAAGTCAGGAGAAAAGGAAGTAGAATCTAAAGAGATGCCTGCACACAGACTCCGGTCACATAGCTGCACCAGTGCTATCTAGATCAACACAATTCAGCTCAACTTCCATCTACCTGCCAATTAATTAGCCGTATAGCAATAGACATGCAAACAAACCCTGTGACTACCCGGACACCCAGCATGGGTGAGCCATTTTGTGCTGTGAAATAACCTCCAATCCAGTAGGTAAACCATAAATCACCTGGGTTTTAAAACTGTGTTAAAAAGCGAGATTATATCCCTTCTCCCCCCCCTCCCCCCAAACACATCCATTTGGACAAAAAATTGGAGGATACACCCTTACCTCCCTAATAAGACCCCAGAAAGGGATTCCTCTCTTTCCCACCCTTTGCTAAGACTTAGCTGGCCATGCCATCAAAGCCTGCCTGAATGGGCCTTACCCGTGTGGGTCCTAAGATGTGCCTTGAGATGAGAGCTTTTGGTGTAGGTTTTCCCACAGCCGGCATAGTCGCAGGTGTGCGTGGCGGTCCTTTTCCTGGGCCACGACCGGCGTCCCCTCTTTGGCTTGGTTTCTTCAGGCAGGCAGCTCCCCGGTGGCATCAGCTCTAAAGGTGAAGAGGGCGGAGTCAGCATCATCCCCCCTGCTAGTAAGGGAGGCTGGAGTAAGGGGTCCCCCGACCCACTGAGATACCGAGACTGACCTTGATACTGTAGTGCACTAGGCGGGAGCTGCTCGGGCAGGAAAGGAGGGTAGTTTGGAGCAGGGTGGTAGCCGGGGGGCAGCTGCAGGTGACTGAGCCCCTGGGCGGAAGGATGGCAGTCCCTGCTGTTCAGCATCTCCTCTGGCGCCAAGGAAGGGTTAGTCCTAGAGGGCAGCGGCCTCCCCAAGGGGAACTCGTGCTGCGGCGTGGCGATGGTGCACGAGGGAGGCGCCTCCTGCTTGATTTTGGGGCACCCCCTGGGCAGGGAGCCGTAGGGGGCCCCGGGGCTGTCCGTG